TGGATTATAAACTTGTACGTCAAAGCTAGAATCACAGAGCTTCCTATGAAAAGGAGAAAATATTTGCAACATTGGAAGACCAAATGTTTCATAGACAGAATGCCAAAAGCACTAACTATAAAGGAAAAGTAGATATTTTAAGAAAATGAATAGGCAAACCTTGTTCATGATATATGTTCTTTTTTTAAATTTATTTATTTTTTAGTTTCCGGCGGACACAACATCTTTGTTTGATGTGGTGCTGAGGATCGAACCTGGGCTGCACGAGCGCGCTACCGCTTGAGCCACATCCCCAGCACTATGATATATGTTCTTTTTTTTTTTTTATAATTTTTAATATTTATTTATTTTTAGTTATCGGCAGACATAACATCTTTGTTTGTATGTGGTGCTGAGGATCGAACCCGGGCCGCACGCATGCCAGGCGAGCGCGCTACCACTTGAGCCACATCTCCAGCCCCTGATATATGTTCTTAAATCCTTTTTTCCCCAAAGTAGTTTAGCATTATTTAGATCCAGAACATCTTGTTATTATATTACATATTGGTTGTTGTTTTATAAAGTTAGAGATGGGACATTGACCCAGGGAACTCTCTAACTGGATTCCCCTGTTTATTTCATCGTGTTGTGAATTTTGGTCCCTTTTTCATTTATACTTTGCCCAGTAGCACAGCGAGTAGATTTTATTTTTAATTGACACATAATAGTTGTGCATACTTACAAGGTATAGTGTGACATTTCAGTACATGCTAAAATGTGTAATGATCTGATCAGGGTAGTTGGCATATCATATATTTACCATTTCTTTGCATTAGAATCATTCCAAATCCTCTCTGCTAGCGAAATTAGTTGTGGTCAACAGTAGTCATCCTATTATCTGTAGAATATTAGAAGTTATTGCTTCTATTTACCTGCACCCCTGTACTTGTTAACCATCCTCTCTATCCATTCTACCCCACACTCTTCCTGCGTAGGGTAAATAGTATTTTCCATTCTACTTCTCTGATATCACTTTTTTAGCTTCCACATAAATGTGAGAAGGGACAGTCAATTTTAGATCACATTAATTCATATAAAATAATTATATATTAGATGAAACCAGAAGACAAAACAGATAGTATTTTGGGAGATGGGGAATAATTGTTGCCTGTGAGTCTTCTTAAGTGTCAAGGCCAATTTTTTTAGGTGGTTCAAGTAAAGACTGGCAGATGAACTCAGACCTCGTAGACAGGGCAACAAATGCAATCTCCATTTAGGTGTAGTCTGTTGCCCTCAAGATTTTGCTTCTTGCTTTCCATTTATAGACCAAGAATAAAACCATCAGGAAATAGAAACTAAAGATGTGACCAAAAGAACTGAAAGAATAACAATAAAATTCAAGTTGGAGATAGTACAACATTTTAAAAGAGCACAGCAGTATGCTGTCAAAACCCTAGTCTTGAAATCTTAATGCTGAGAACAGTCAGTTGATTTTTGTATTCACAAATACGTACCTGTACACACAGATAGGCATACACACACACACACACACACACACACACACACACTCACTCACTCACTCTTAAGCAACCAAAGTGTTAGGAGGGAAACAAGAAGTGAGGATAGGGGAGATCTAAATCCAGGAGGGTAAGTAGGTTTGAGAGGTAGTAGAATCCCACTACTGCCTAGAAGTTCTGCAGCTTGAGGAGCTGCCTGACTTTGTTTGCAAAGCAGCCTTCCTCCTAGGCTTTTCCAAGGGTGATCTGTGTTCTTGTTTGTCAAGCATTTGGAATAATGCCTGGCTTGTCCTAAGCCCTCGGTGAGGTGCCAGCCTTCCTCCTGGCAGGAACAGCAGGGAGGGCCTCTTCCCTTCCCCAGCCTGCTGGGAGGGGTCTCACAACCTCTCTGCTGAAGGACCCATTGTTGCAGTTGACACTTATGCAAAGGGATGCCGCCTGTAAATGCTTCTGGAGTGAATGCGTGGTTGGACTGGGTTGGTGTTCTCACAAAGGAATGTGAAATGATTTTAGGTGGGACCAGCCAGACATTTTACATTTCAATAGGTAGGAATTTATTAGTGTCTCCCTAGGAGAAAATGCTCGGAGCCAGTCAGCCCTGGGTGATAGGCAAATGCCTGGGGAGTGAAAAGACTTACCGAGCCAGTGGTAGGTGACTGGAAATTGAGAGCAGTGGCGGGTTGAATCAAGACTAGAAAATGTTGAAGGTCTTTCCAAATCTGACAGTTTTGATTATTTTAATCAGAGTTTTAAAACAGGAAGTCAGGATATATGGAAGCAAGGGAAGTTGTTTGGGTTTTTATTTTGAGCCGAGGAGCGCAGTGGAAATGGACCACAGCGTCCCGATGGTGTGAGGACACACTGTTGGCAGCGCTGGGTGACTCGGTGCTCTCTGTGGGCAATGTGTGTGTGTGCGCGCGCAGACAGCTTACATACAGTCATAGAGATGACTATACGATACAGATACATTTTTCTAACTATTAGGAACATCCTCTGCATATAAGTTTTAGTCTGCTTTGTTCCCGGGATGTTCATACCCTCCTGTTCAGTGTTCCTGGAGAAAGCTCCTGTGCCATTGCTGTGTTCACTTAGGGTGAGCCCTGAAGTGGACCGGTTAGGTCTGGCCCGTGTGTCCGGCTGTTCTGCCTGTTGCTGCAGCGCCTCGCACACGGTTGTGTAGCTCTTGTTTCCAGCCGCAGCGCTGGAGCGCCCTCTTCCCCCTCCTCCTACAAAGCCAAGGTCTATTAGAAAATGGTTTTGTTGCCAGTTTGTTAAAGGAAATATTGCTGTTTTTGCTTTCATTTTGCATTTTCTTGGATCATCAGTATTGTTTTCTTTGGGTGGGGGGAGTACTGGGGATTGAGCCCAGAGACGCTTTTCCACTGAGCTACACCCCTAGATCTTTTTATTTTTTGTTTTGAGACAGGGTCTCAAAAAGTTCGGGGGGCTGGGGATGTGGCTCAAGTGGTAGAGCGCTCGCCTAGCATGCATGCGGCACTGGGTTTGATTCTTAGCACCACATAAAAATAAAACAAAGATATTGTGTCCACATAAAACTAAAACCTAAATTAAAAAAAAATAAAAAAATAAAAGTTCAGGCTGGCCTCGAACTTGCTATCCTCCTGCCTTGGCCTCTGGGATTCAGAGGTGCACCACTGCGCCCCATCGGCAGACACTTTCTAAATTCCTCTTTCCTGTCTCCTCTCAGCAGAAGGCACAGATGAGCACTGTGTCAATTTAGGGTTGGACAGAACCTCAACTGCAGATAGGGCTTTCCCCACTAGATGGCACTGGAAGACCCTTTGAAATCAGCGTTGAACAGGGGGAAAGCATGTTTTCCCTTGCACCTAGATCTTCAGCTCAAGCCTGAGACAAAACCTCCAACAGCCTTAACCCTTACTAGTGCATGCTGATATTTTCTATTTTTTTTTCTTTTCTTTTCTTTTTTTTTTTACATTTTTATTGGTTGTTAAACATTACAAAGCTCTTGATATATCATATTTCATACATTTGATTCAAGTGGGTTATGAACTCCCATTTTTACCCCGTATACAGATTGCAGAATCACATCGGTTACACATCCACGTTTTTACATATTGCCATACTAATGACTGTTGTATTCTGCTATCTTTCCTATCCTCTACTATCCCCCCTCCCCTCCCCTCCCATCTTCTCTCTCTACCCCATCTACTGTAATTCATTTCTCTCCCTTGAGATATTTTCTATTTTACTTTCCTTCCTACTGAAAAAAAAAAAAAAACAAACAAATAGGATTGCACACTAATTTCATGTCAATGGGTCACAATTTACTGTTCCAAAAGCAAATTATTTTAGATAACTGAGAAAGTTTACTGTTATAAAACTTTGCAAGTGTACTGATTTCCTTTGGGAAGTTTGGATCACCGAATCCTACCTGTCAGTGAGTGTTTTGCATGTTTGTGTATTGAGTTCGCTGCGTTAACCCATGTGCTTCCCTCATGGGTGTCTGGATGTGCAAACAGATGAGAGAGACTGTGGGAGACAGGTTTGCACAGAATCTGGCACCTACTGTAGCAAGGTAGGAGTAAGCCTTGATGAAAAGAGAAGATATGGCATCTGCTTCAGGAGCTTAGAATCCACCTGGGAGATACACACACACATGCACACACCACACGTGCACACGCACACAAACACACACATACACATACTTAAGTTCCTTCCTAGTTGTGTAGGAACATGGAAATGGAGATATGCTAAGGGTACCAGTTAGGATGTTTTAGGCTGCAAGTAAGAGGCCTTCTTAAATTGCCTAAACGATAGACACGTATCACACAGACTATATGTTGACAGCAGACCAGGCTGCAGTTCCGCAGAAATTTAGGGTGGCCTTGGGATCCAGGCTCTTCTTGTCATGACTTGTCAGTTGTCCTAAGGCCAGCTGACATGGTTGCCAGAAGGTGTCCAGAGCATGATCAGGGCTTTAGCTCCTAGTACTCCTTGTAGTACAGATACTGCTCCTGGTAGTGTAGAACTTAGACTTTGGTCATGTTTTCTGAGTTGGTTTATTTGTTCCTGGTTTCCCCACTGTGATCTCTAAAGAAGTGTCATTACTAGTACTTGATACAGAATTGGGAGAAATACTTAGGTAGCAATTCGTGATGCTCACCAGTATCTTTGGTTCTTCCTCTGGGCACACACTGTTTGGTTTTGTGCAGCTACCTGGTCAGCTCTGACCAGTGAGTTCACTGAGTAAACAGGTAGTTAACAGTGTTCTTTATGAAGTATGAGTGGGGTTTTTGCTGTTTAGAGTCCTAGGGAAGGTGAGAAATGACCACTGTGGGATCCATAGTGGGCGGTTTAATGTGACAGTGGATGGATGAGTCTATTTAAAGGTGCAGTGGGGCTCTACAGTGTGCATTTATTGCCCTTTGTGGTACAGTTGTCCTCTATACCTGGGACCTGGGCAGTGGAGCCTGGGCCTGACCTACCAGCTGCACTCATGGCCTACTCTTTGGCCCCTTCCAGGTTTGCAGTGAGCGTTGGCTACTGGCATGATCCTTACATCCAGCACCTCGTGAGGCTGACTAAAGAGAGGAAGGCCCCTGAAATTAACAGAGGCAAGTACCATCTCCCTCCCCACCACCTGCTCACCACATAGGAGACCTGAGGTTTTAGGGATTCGTTCTTTTTTTTTTTAAAGAGAGAGTGAGAGTGAGAGAGAGAGAGAGAGAGAGAGAGAGAGAGAGAGAGAATTTTTTTAATATTTATTTTCTAGTTTTTGGCAGACACAACATCTTTGTTGGTATGTGGTGCTGAGGATCGAACCTGGGCCGCACACATGCCAGGCAAGCACGCTACCGCTTGAGCCACATCCCCAGCCCCTAGGGATTCGTTCTTAAAAGAAGTTCTAGCATGCACTCCTTTAACAGAATATGAAAGGAATAATCCTAGCTTCCTTACCAACACACTGTGCTATGAAACTTTATTTGTAGGTGAGGTTGAGGGTCATTTTCTTTTATAAAAACCCATTTATATATCTTTTACCATGAGCTGTTTGTTCATGTATGGGATTGCTTTCTACTTCTTTGTTATAGTGTTGGTTAGTGACACTATTAGGCTTTGTAAGAAATTTTCATTAAGAAAAACCAAGGACTTGAGGCAGGTGCATGATTTATCCTCAACCCCACTAAGAAATTGGCTGAATGACCATAATTCCCCTGTGTGCAGGGAATCTTGGCCCCCAAAGAGGAATCCTTTGGGTAGGGTCTATAAGAAATGCCAAGAAGCAGGGAATGTGGCACCTGCCTATTATCCCAGCTACTTAGGCGGCTGAGGCAGGAGAATTATAAGCTGAAGGCCAGCCTGGGTGATTCAGCAAGACCCTGTCTCAAAATAAAAGTAAAAAAAAAAAAAAAAATTTAAATTTAAAAAAAGGGTTGGGGTATAGTTCTTTGATGGAGTGCCCCTAGGTTCAATCTCCATATTACATAAAAAGAAAAAAAAAAAAAAGCAAAGAGATTTTAAAAAGCAGTGGTTCCTGGGAACACGGGTGAGCTGTTTTCCTTTGCATCTCTCCCATGGTCTTAAGTTGGATTTCCTAACAAATGTTATAGAGATGGGGACCCCACGTGGTGCTTGGTTCTGGTGAGGTGGGTTTGTAAGGAAAATTCTGGGTGATGGCTTGTTTCTCTGCCCTCTCAAAGGATATTTTGCTCGAGTCCATGGTGTCAATCAGCTTCTAAAGGCTTTTCTCCGGAAGACAGAATGTCATTGTCAGGTTCTTAACCTTGGGGCTGGGATGGATACCACCTTCTGGAAACTAAAGGTAAGTGAACCGCCCCCCCCTCCAACCTGTCCAGTTGTTTCAGTTTAATTTTTTTTTTTAATGACAATACCTGTATTTTTATTATTTATTTTTATGTGGTGCTGAGGGTCGAACCCAGCGCCTTGCACGTGCTAGGCAAGTGCTCTAGCGCTGAGCCCCAGCCCCAGCCCCAGCCCCTCAGTTTAATTTTTTGAAGACGTTTACCTCGGTCAGAATTTTTAAAAGTATTTTAAAAGGTGCGCAGTGAAGCCTGTCTCCACCGTCGCCTGCCTGCAGGCTCCCCACAGCACTGTCTGTCTCAGGTTTTCTCTCAGCAGGGTCCTAATGAAATCAGGTTGTTCCTCATTGCTGTTGTTTCAAGTGGGATTAGAATAAAAACCCATGTATTTCCCCTATGTGTGTGGATATATATCAGGAAGAAAATTCTATCAGAATTCCTGGGCAAAGAGCATTTGTAATTTTTATAATAACCAGGATCTGTTCTCTACATCATGACATCTGGTAAAATTGGGAGGTTTGCAGGGCTGAGGTTTGACAGTCAGGTGCACAGGCCTGCTGTGGTGGCTCTCTGATGGGATCTTTGCTAGGGCTTGGGGGCCAGTCTGATTGCACACACTCATGTGGAAGGAAACCTGATTCTAGGTAGCGGCAAGATCAGGACTAAAGTGCTGCTCTTTTGACTCCAAGACTTGATTTTTATTTTTTTTAATTTTAATATTTATTTTTTTAGTTTTCGGTGGACACAACATCTTTGTTTGTATGTGGTGCTGAGGATGGAACCCTGGCCACACGCATGCCAGGCGAGCGCACTACCGCTTGAGCCACATCCCCAGCCCAGGACTTGATTTTTATTGCTAAGTCTTTTCCCTACAATATCTTTCCTGGTTCCATATTCTATTTTGTAGGTTTTTTCAGATTTTTCTTGGTTCTTCTGTGAGGTCAGTCATGAAGCAATAATGGGTACGTGCATTTCCCCAGTTTTCTGGCAGGTCAGACCTAGGTGAATTAGAGTGTGGACATCACCCGACCTGCAAAGCTCGTCCCTAATCAGCTCACCTGATAAGGTTTTGGTCCTCAAGGTTCCAGCCTTTCTCTTATGTGAGAAACCAGTGGCCTCAGCGTAGTCTTGAGGTACATCGTTTGCCTCTGTGTTCTTTGAGATAAGATAACTAACACTCGTGAAATGCTTAACACACATGACCTCATGAGTTAACATGAGAGCTTTGGAAATGGGGTCTTAGAAAGATGGCAGAAATTGGGCTGTGAGAGGTTTTTTTCATCCAGGATCTACAGCCAGGCCTTTGGATTGGGGAACACATTGGAATCAGCTCATCAAATCCCAGATCCCCTCTTCTTCACATATGGCCCCTGTGGTTGCTCAGGGGGTTCTCTCTGGTGACATCCCCTCTTCTGTAGGTCTGTTGAGTCTTTGTAATGTAGTGTACCGTGGTGTGGTGTAAGGGCCTGGAGCAGACACCACGGAAGAGGACATGTTGTTATAAGTCACTGCAGAAATCTCTCCATTGGGCCCAAGACCCCCTCATCCCATGATTGACTTTTTACCCCATCTTGTAGGTGGGTTAATAATTAATCTGAGATTTTTCTTTCTGAGCAAAGTACGCTGAGGTTAATGTACCCCTTCCAAGAAAAAATGTTGTCTCTCAGTAGTGAGGAAGGAGAATTGCAGAATATCTGAAAGTCCTTTGTGGAAACTTAACACTTTTGTTGATAATTACATTGGTCTGATATAATTTTTTTGTGGGAGGGTTCTTATTTTTAAATATTTATTTTTTAGTCGTAGTTGGACCCAATACCTTTTTATTTTATTCATTTATCTTTATGTGGTGCTGAGGATCAAACCCAGGGTCTCGCACATGAGAGGCGAGCGCTCTACCACTGAGCCACAACCCCAGCCCGGGTTCTTTTTTAATATGTGTAGGTAGTTCCCTTGTTTGCTCTTTTAGAGTAGGAGTTGCAAACTCTAGGCCATGGACCAATCTGCTTTACCACCTGTTTTTGTGAGTAAAGTTTTATTGGAACACAGTTACTTCCATTTGTTTGCGTATCGTGCTCTGGCAGCATATGACAACGATGACAGCAGAGTTGATTAGTTATAACACAAACCATCTGGCTTGCAAAGGCTAAAATATTTATTTTCTGGCCCTTTGCAGACAAAGTTTACCAGTCTCTGTTTTAGAGTTATATGTTTCGGTGAAAGTCTAGGGAAACTCTTATCCATGATCCTTTTGTCTTATGCATCCTCACACCCTCCATCTGGGATGGTTCCTTTGTACCTGCAGAGTTTAGCAGGGAGTCATGGGCTTTCTGCTGCCACTACTGCCTGAGCTCCTTCCATGTCATCTCAGGGGACCAAGACTATTTGTATGGTGGGAGATTCCTGTCTGCAGGAATGCCAGTAATTCACAAAAAGAATAACAGGGGAGCGAAGTTCTTTAAGGTGCCTCTGCTTCTTGATGTTTCTTGAATACTGTTTCCATACAAAGGCCCAGCTGTGTAGGGGAGGCGGCCTTTGTGTCTGAGTGATGCTCTGTTGCCAGCTGTCCTCAGGCAGTGGTACTGGGTCTTAGCTGTCTTCCACATCAACTCACGACACGCAGGCTCTTTGGGTGTGGAATGTCAAAGGCGTAGAGAATCAGAAGCAAAAGTCGGGACATCACTTGGTGAAGCCATTTTTCTCCTGTCAAAATCGAGAAGGAAGGGGTCTCCTAAAAGTGCCAGCGTGTTGTTTGGAAGTGTTCCTCTGTAGTGGCCTCTTGTTCAGAGTCTCAGGTGAGCTGGCGCCAGGGCCAGCTCTTGAACAAGGAAGCTCTTCTGTAAAAGTCAGAGGACGCTCTGCTGTCCCCTCAGCACTGGATGCTCGTGTTTCTCATTGTCTGTGGAATTTCAGATGACTCTTACCTCTTAGTCCCCTGCGAGTAAAAATTTGTTCCTCTGTGGTGCTGGGAATGGAACTCAGGGCCTCCTGCATGCCAGCCACTGAGCTATGTCCCCAGCTGTCAAGGAGCATTCTGTTTTGCTCTTGAGGGGGTGAAACCCAGGGCCTCACAAGGGCTAAGTGTGCACTTTCCTGCTGAGCCCCTCCGGCCCTGAGTACACAAGTCCTTAGGCGGTCTTGTGGAGTGTCTTTTTTTTTTTTTTTTCAAAGTTAAAAGCGCATCAAACACGCCTAGCATTTATTATTTTAATCACAAACCTACAGACCCCTCAGTACACCCTCCTTGGGGCCTGGCCCCAGCAATCCAAAGCTGATGACCTTGGGTATAGGCAGCAGGAGAGGTGGGGATGGGTAAGGAGTGTCTCTTGATAACTCTGAAATGGGGGGAATCCTCCAAATGAAGAACTGAGTAGGGGCCAGAGGTTGGGGATAACCTAGCTTCTGAGTAGGGGGGACAATTAAAAAATCAGTTAAACAAATGAGAGAAGGTACAATACACTTTTGCAACCCTTCCTCCAAGCCTCTGCCTGTAAGGGAGACTTTGTCTTTTTCCTGGGCAGGGATCTCCCTGGAGGGGCCCCGTCCTTCACCCTGTTCTACATTTTGAACAACAGTACTGGGGTACTAGACACCTGGTCTGGATCCCCAGTAATCCCCAGCATCTCCCCAAACTTTCCCTAAAGGAAGAAGACAGGACTCTACCCAAGGGTAGAGGCTTAACTCTCACTCCAGATCTAGGTTGGAAGAATAAAACTGTAGAATTTCAACATCTGTCCTCTTCCCCAAGAGCAGAGTTAGCTTAGAGCCCTCCTAGGTCAGGTCAGGTTGGTCCCAGGTTAAGGTGGGGAGCTTAAGTACTGCTCCTCCCTGCTGAGTGGAATGCTTGCATGAGATGTTGCTAAGGGCCAAGGGTAGGGCTGTGGTCTTCAAGTGGGATGGCCTGCTCCTACTGACTCCTTCACACCTGAAACACCTGTGCTGGACTCTTCCTATAGGGAAGGGATAGAATGGGGCCTGGCCTCCATTCCCAGAAGGGCAGGACTCAAGTTCCCATGGGAAGGGGCTGGGTCATGTCCTCACTTCTATTCCTTGTTTGGACAGGGAAGGGTTCATGGGGAAGGAGATGGGCTTAACCCCCCCAGGGGTGGGACCTCCTCTTCCAGTGCCAAGATGGGCTAGACTGGCAGATCCCAGGGAAGGGATGGAGCAGCATCCTGACATCTCCTATTCCCAGGAGACCTGGTTAAGACAGTCTTTAGCGGGCAGAGGTGGGACCCCATCCTGTCTCCTTTGGTCTTTGTGGAGTGTCTTAGCAGACGTGGCTTCTGTATCCCCTCTACACATGTCCTCCCAATATTTTCAAGGCCCAGCTCTTCAGGCCACAGGTGTGTGCTTGACTCTGAAGTGTGGACAGCTGAGGTTCAAGACCCTAGGTCTCCTAGGATGCATTAGGGATGTCTTTTCTTAAAAAATTAAGCCCCAGGCTCTATCCCCTGGGATTTCAACCCGAGGACCTTCTTGGGTGGACAGTTAGACCTCACAGCCTCATGTTTGCTCTAAAGGTGGCTTTCCTGCTAAGAATGAGTGCTGTGACTTCTGCTCCGTCATGCTGTCCTCGGTGTCAGCTCCTCTGAACATCTGCCTGCTCCTCCGTACCTGGTCTCCCTCTCTTGTCACTGTCCTCTGAGTGGTTCCCCTGTGTGCCCAGTTGCTCAGGTTAGAACTCTCCTTTCCTTCATTGCATCTTGCACCACTGGAGCCATTGCCAGGTTCAGGATATCAGCGGTTTTCTTTTTCATCCTTTTTAAAACCATAAGGAGTTCTTTGTTCCTGGGGTATAAATACAGATGGGAAGTGGGGCATGAGTGAGCGAAAGGGGAGAGGCTGGCCCTTGTTTCTTGCAAAACCTTAGAGGCGTGAAGAAATGCTGGAGGCGACATGTATGTGCAGCTGAAGGAGACCAGGAGGGGTGCTGTTGGAGTGGGCAGGAGGTGACCGCTGGGGAGGAGTGGCTGGGTATGAGAAGTCGGCGGGTGGAGTGGGTGAGTGAGCCAGGGGACTATGGGCAGGCGGCTGGAGGGACTGTGCACCGCCAGATGGGGTGTGTAGCCAGCAGCCAGGCTAGGGAAGGCGGCCGGGAAGCAGGGCCACGGGTGTGTGTGTCTTTCACACTTATCTGTCTGTGGCCCACAGTGAGAAGCTCATCCCGAGCCAGACTCCAGGCCTGTGCAGCTGTGCCTGTCAGCAATGAAGGCACAGAGGGGAGATTGACCAGGGCAGGCTGCCTTCCGAGGGCCCGTTACCTCCGTAAGCCTCGCAGCCCCGAGGTGCAGTCACTTTCTTTACTTTTTAAAGGAGGACCTCTTGGCTTAGGGAGTTCAGCGATTTCCCAGACCTCACCACAAGTAAGATGTGGAGCTGGGATTTGCATCCTGCCCTGGCTCTGGAGTGCCCGTTCCCCACCACGTCAGCGTCCTCCACCATAACAAACACAGAACACAATCACCAAAACTCAGCTCCAAAATAATACTTAACCCTCATTGCATTTGTCATAGTAGCTATTTTATTCTATTTCATTCAGGAAATGCTGGTCACAGTGGCTTCCTGACCCTCTCTAGTTATCTCAAGCTGCTTTTGAAGAAAACTATGTTTGTCCTACTTCCCAGGTGCCTCCACTGTAGACGCCCCCTCTAGGTCAGGCTCCCTAGACTTTCTTACATGGACTCTATAGAAGCCTCCTAATGTTTCCTGCATCCAGTCTTCCTTCCCTCAAATCCGTTCTGCTTATTGAAACCAAAATAATTTGAAAAATATACTTCTGACCATACCAGTCCCCTGACCTGAGACCCGTATTCAGCTGCATAGCTCTTCAGCACTTAGTGCTTGGCACATGGAAAATGATCAGTGACTGGTGAGTAAAGAAATGATTTTGTGTGCTTTTCCCCAGGATGAAGATCTTCTCCCAAGTAAATATTTTGAGGTTGACTTTCCAATGATAGTCACGAGAAAGCTGCACAACATCAAGTAAGTGTGGTTTCTTGGAGGGAAAGCCCACCTCCTGGTAGACAGGAGGTTTGCATGCTGGAGACTTCGTTCCAGGTCACTGCTTTCCTTGGACCTCCTTCCCACTTACTTTCCTGCCCTGGGACCCTCGTCCCTAGATGTCATGTAGACTTAAGCAAGGATTGCACCTTCCCTTAGGACTCTTCTGTCCGTTGATGTGATTTCTGTGAAAATGGCCCATCATAGTTGAATGACCTGAAATTTTGTCTCTTGTTTACTTTCTCTCTTTGGCATAGAAAGGTACCCGAGCAGAATAGCTGTACAGTAAATGTTCTGTTGTTTCTTGCATGAATGAGTATTCGTGAGACCTATGGTGGTCTTCTGAGTTCAGTACTCAAGGAGTTTGCAGTGTTGTAGACGACAAGTCTGCCAATCTTTGCTGGGAGCTTTTCTTTGCCTGTACCACATTCAGTGCTTCGCTTGGGTCGTCTCAGTCAGCCTGCACAGCAGACTCAGTGAGTGGAGCCCTGTTCCAGTCACCTTTTGGCAGTGAATAATCATGAGCTCAGAGAAGTTCATCCGCCCCAGGTCCTGACTAGGAAAGGATGGAGCTGGGGTTTAAACCCTTATCTGAAGACCACTGTCAGGGCTTATAGTTTTTACTACCCTCTCCACCCACCCCTCTTTAAATTAGTAACAAATAAAATTCTAATCTTTGCATTAAAAGTTTAATAGATATAAGTTTCAGCTTGTTCTTCAGACATGTCTAATCTCTGCCAATTGGGAAATATGTTTCAAGCTTTATTTTTTTCCTAGTCTGTATTATGAAAATAAGTTTTTAATTTTTTCTAATATAAAATTACATTTTATATTAAAAATGCTTTTTTAAAATTTATTTTATTTTTAAATAAAGTTAGTTGTAAGTTTGTTGAAGACGTGCTTTTTTTTTTTTTTAAAGAGAGAGAGAGAATTTTTTAATATTTATTTTTTAGTTTTTCGGCAGACACAACATCTTTGTTTGTATGTGGTGCTGAGGATCGAACCCGGGCCGCACGCATGCCAGGCGAGCGCACTACCGCTTGAGCCACATCCCCAGCCCTAAAAATGCTTTTAAAATGATGGCAGATCTAATGCTTTTGGAACTGCATAGTGCTACTAAGCTAGTTAGAACTCTGCAGTGAAACAGGAGTACATTGGCCTGTGCTGTTAAGCTTAGAGATGGCTTCCTGGGAAGAAAAATGGATTAGGATTTGGTTGTTGTGATAAGTGAATTTGGCTGATATCTCATTTTTTGTATTTTCTGGGTTAAGGGAGTTAATCACATAAAAGTTCCTACACTTTTGGATTTAAGAGTCAATTCTTGGCAGACACCGTGGTGCACACTTGTAATCCCAGCAGCACAGGAGACTGAGGCAGGAGGATTGAAGGTTCAAAGTCAGGCTTTGGCGAGTTAGCAAGGCCTTATGCAACTCAGTGTAACCCTGTCTCTAAATAAAATACAAAAAATGGCTGGGGATGTGGTTCAGTGGTTAAGTGCCCCTGGATTCAATCTCTAGTACCAAAGTCAATTTTTTAAATTAATTTATTTTAATTAGGTATATATGGCAGCAGAATGCATTTTGATTCATTGTACACAATTGCAGCACAACTTTTTATTTCTTTGGTTGTACATGACGTAGCATCGCTCCATATTTGCAGTCATACATGTACCTAGGGTGATGATGTCCATCTCATTCCACCATCTTTCCTGCCCCCATGCTCCCCTTTGCCCAGTTTCAAAGTTCCTCCATTTTTCCCATACGCTCCCCCATTCCCCTGCCCATTATGGATCAGCATTCACTTATCAGAGACAACATTTGGCCTTCAGTTTTTTGGGATTAGCTTACTTTGCTTAACATGATATTCCCCAACTCCATCCATTTACCTGCAAATGCCATAATTTTGTTCTCTTTTAATGCCGAGTAATATTCCACTGTGTGTATATACTACATTTTCTTTATCCATTCATCTATCAAAGGGCATCTAGGTTGCTTTCACTGTTTATCTATTGTGAATTGAACTGCTGTAAACATTGATGTGGCTGTGTTACTAAAGTATGCTGATTTTAAGTACTTTGGGTATAGATCAAGGAGGATAGCTGGGAAGAGTCAATTCTTACAACTACCTGTGACAGAGAACAGCTATTGCAGATTTTTGGGGGGAATAAACAAGAAACTAGAGATGTTCTGAATACTGGAACATTTAGAATATTCTTGTTAGCCAACCATTAGCTATTTCTGAGTTGAATTACTTCATGATCACTGTGTGATTTGGACATCAGATACAGAGCATAGTACCTGGCTGTCCTAACTTGAAACCTGTGTCTGCTGAGTTTTTTATTGTACGTGCACAAGGTCAAATGTAATTAATTGAAAGCTTTTGGGAGTGGCTCTTGCTTTGAACAGAAGCAATGTATTCAGGTTGAATCTATCTAATCAAAAAATCTGAAATCCTAAATGTTCCAAAATCTGAAACTTTTTAAGCATCACATCAGATTAATAAAGTAATGTGCCAATAAAGTCTAGGCAAATATTCCCAAATCTGAAAGAAGTCTGAACTCTCTAAAACTTCTGGTTCCAACCACTTCAGATAAGGGATACTCAGTCTGTATTTTCCATTCCCATAGTGGGTATCTGCATTTTGGCAGTAAATGAGCTCATGAGTAAATTGGTGTGTAATTGGACTCATTATTTTTTTCTCTTTCCCATTTACGCATAGAAACAAGCCTCTCCTGTCCAAGCCCATCGTAGAATTACATTCGGAGGACATGCTTCATATGGGCAAGTATCCTTAATGGTAGCACAGTCTGGATCATCTAAATATTTTTGCTTCAAATCCGCCCTCCCTTTTTCTTTTAATAGATGGTGTGAGTTCTGTCATACAATGAATACCTTTGCTGATACATTTACATTTATATCATGGTTGCCATGAAGAAATTTAAAACAAGCTTCTATATGACTCTTTTTAGATGTCCAATCCAAAATCTTTTATTAATTTTAATTAGTTGTCAACATTTCAAAAATAGATTTCTCATAAAATATTTGGGGGGTAGGTATCAGGGATTGAACCCAGGGGTGCTTAAACACTGAGCCACATTCCTAGCCATATTTTAATATTTTACATTTAGGGACAGGATCTTGCTAAGTTGCTGAGGCTGGCTTTGACCTTGTGATCTTCCTACCTCAGCCTTCTAATGAAAAGAGTAGTTTTTCAGCTTTCTTTGGAAAAATCAAGATGTAGCAACATTAGACCCCAATCCCTAGGTGATGATAATTAGTCGTGCCTGCCCCATTTAGAGGTGACCTGCCTGCTGCCCTCTGTTCCCACCTGTCTGTTGTCTTGACCTGCGCCAATCATTTATGTCATTTGCTTGGCTCCTGCAGTCTCTATTTCCACCTGGCATTTAATTATGCATGTTTCTAACAAAACTTTTCTCATTTCTGAACTTTCCAATTTGTGGTTTAAAAAAAATCTCCCTTACGGGGCTGGGATTGTAGCTCAGTTGGTAGAGGGTTTGCCTTGCACGGGTGGAGGCACTGTGTTTGATCCTCAGCACCACATAAAAACAAATAAATAAAATAAAGGTTAAAAAAGTGAATTAAAAAAAAAAATCTCTCTTACTAGAATATTTGTGTTTAGTTTGTGCCTGACAGAGACGTTGAAGGGGTTTATAGTCATTTAGGTCAGAAAACTTGCTCAGAGAGGATGGCCTTCTTGGATGGTCAGCACAGATAACACAGTAAACATCGGGAAGCTGGATAAGCCTCCATTTACGTATAGCTTTAGTCATCCTCGTGACTGGACTCCCAATAAAGTTTGTCCAGAAAATATCTTCCCAGCCTTTGCTTCACGCACAAATTACCGGTAGTACCTATTCAAGGTTTGCCATTTCCTGGACTATTTGCTCTCTCCCGCTTTGGCTGTTACAGTTTTTTATATTGGGTTAACATTTCTGTCAGCTTTACGGTCTGTATTGAAGGATCTACTACTTAACATTACCTTTGGTCAAACAATGTGGACATACGTGAAGTAGAAAGTAAAGACCTCAAGGGTTGGGGTTGTGGCTCAGCGGTAGAGCGCTGGCCTAACACATGCGAGGCCCTGGGTTCGATCCTCAGCACCATATTAAAAAAATAAATAAATAAACAAAATAAAGGTATTGTGCCCAACTACAACTTAAAAAAAAAAAAAAAAGAAAGAAAGTAAAGACCCCAAGAGAGCCAGTGCTGGAGTGTTTTCTTTCCACAGATGTGCAGTGGTTATCTTTTCCTAGAGGAAGACAGACAGATGCATGGATAAGTACACCCCTGTGCCTAGTGCATAAAAGGTTCAATACATTTTTGTTGAATCAATGTATAGACACACTGAATGAATGTGTATTGTAGCTCAACATGTACTTGCTGAATGAGTCTCTGCTTCTATATGTAAATGTTGATGTTTTGTAATTTTAATAAACAGTGAATAAATTATACACACTGTTCTGTAACTTGCTCTTTTTGTGTCCTTGTAAATCACAATTATTCTTTTTGTGTCAGACTTTATAGATTTGCATCATTATTTTTATGGCTTTATAGTACTTGTTTGCATGGAAATTTCATTATGTTTGATCTGTTTTCTACTGATGGTCATTTAGGTTGCTGCCTTTTTTATGTTTTTACATTAAACTGTATTGTAGTAAATGTATGGATATGTGCATATTTTCAGGAATTGCTAATTCAAGGAATTGCACATTATGAGTTCTGATAGCTATGGCTGCCCTGCTTTTCAAGTCTCTTTTTATGAATTTATATTTTAGTAGAATTGGTGAGGATTCTGTTTCCCTATTACCCATACGGGGTTTGATCATTTAAAAAGTCTTACCAATCTGATAGACTGGAATGTTGCCCTATTATTTTAAAAACGTATGTAACTTTGAATGCTAGTGAATTGGAATATCTTTCCCTGGTTATTTAAAAATATTTTTATTAGTGCATTATAGTTTAATAGAGGGGTTTATTTCCACATTTCCATAAATGCATATAATATAGTTTTTCCATTTCAGTCCCCATTCAGTCCCCAGGGGCTTTCCAGGTTTTGTTGCTCTTTGAAACTTTTTTGGTTTCATTTGCTTTGTCTGTTTTTTTTGTTTGTTTGTTGCATTGCTTCTGTTTCTTTTTAATTTGTATAAATCATTTATAATAAATGGATGTATTCTTTGAGAAAAGTCCCTTATAAGCCTTTGTGGTTTTGTTTGGTACTAGGGATTGAACCCAAGGTCGCTCAACCATTACATAACATCTCTAGCCATTTTTATTTTTGAGATAAGATCTTGCTAAAATACCTAGGACTTTGCTAAGTTGCTGAGGCTGGCTTTGAACTTGCCATCCTCCTTCCTCAGCCTACCAAGTTGCTGGGATTACAGGCATGTGCCACTGCATGCCCTGTAAGCTCTGTGTGTGTGTGTATGTGTATGTGTGTGTGTGTGTGTGTGTGTGAATTTTTGTTTTCTGTTTTACTTGTCTTTTAACTTTGTGTTTGGGTCTGATGTAGATGAAGATTTTAGTTCAGCTGTTCATACTTTTTGATCTTGCCACCATTCTTCTAAGAGAATTTGAATAAAAATGAAATAAGAATGTGAGTGGAAACTTGAGGAAAGTGGCAGGTGCTAAAAAAAGTTGCAGAAATTTTGTTTAAAAGTAAAAATTATTGTTATTTTGGGTCTGGAAGAATATATAGTTCAGGTATATATAGTTCTCCTGCTGGCCTCTGCACATGCCACGTGTGCTCTTCCCTCCTCCTGGCTCTCTTCTCCTGTCTTTGCTAAAGGGGCTCCTTCTCATCACCGGGCTGTCAGCCTAGCTGCCACCTTCTCAGAGAGGTTCCTTCTGACCCCATTGACCTCCTCTCCCCACTGTCTGTGGCACTAGCCACTTGTGTTTGTGTGTTCTTAGTTTTCTCTATTGGATTATTATGGTCCCTGGGGACAGGGCCTCTACCTTTCTGTTCATTAGTACATTCCCAGAAATGGCTCAGTGCCCCACACATAGTGAGAGCTCAGTAAGAGTCAGATGGGTAGACAAAGGGACAAATAAGTCTTCTCTATGGACCAGGAACCTACCTGGGGCTGTCTCCATTTTACTATAGTTTTTAAATTTTTAAAAAGATTTCCCCCAGTACTGGGATTTGAACCCAAGGTCTTGCACATGCTAGGCAAGTGCTCTGCTACTGACCTGCACCCCGAGCATTTTTATTTTCTTTTGAGATGAGTTCTTGGCTAAGTTTCCCAGGCTTGCCTTAAACTTGAAATCCTCCTGCCTCGGCCTCCTGAGTAGCTGCAATGACTGATGTATAACACAGCACCTGGCTTTCTTTTCCTCCTTAACTCAAGGAGAAAATCCTGTGAGCAGAAAAGAATGCTTTGCAATCTTTAAAAATAATTTCTAATCTGTCATTGAAGATATATGAATGGGATTGCTGGGATTCGGTCCACATCTCTCTTGAAATACCTGGTGGTGATAGAAGAGATCATTAATTGTGTGATAAAATCAGCACCTTGGAGTCACTGTTGGTGTGTGCATGTATATGTTTAATGACTGTGTTACATTGTGTAAATTTCCAATTTTCTTAAGCCTTTTGCAGAGCATGTGAGGTTAATGAGGCAGATAATTAAAATATGTATCAGGTAGCTTTTTCTCTGTAACAAACTACTGCTAAACGTGTTCTGAAACAGTAGCTATTTATTTTGCTCCTGAGTCTGTGGCTTGGCAAGTTCAGTTGAGTTCCTTTGGGTGAAATCTCTGCTTAGCTCATTCAAGCACTTGCCTGGATTGAATTATCTGAGACTTGTTTTTTCCTCCATTGCGTACCAGGTGTCAAGTTAGGGCAAAGTGTCCCCATCTCTCTGGGCTCAACAGTACCCTGAATGTCTCAATAATTTCTTCGCAATGCTTTAGGCCAAATAACATCCTGCACAGTTCTGTTTATTAATTAGTCAGGTTCAAATATCTTAAGTACTTATGTCTTAACAACTTACTACTCATTTGAAAAAGGTAATAAATATGAATCAGAAGAGCAAATACTATTTTTATCTCCTTCTTAAGTAACCACAGTTACTATTGAGATGTGTGTCCCTGCTGGGCACTCACGACTTCCTGAATCAGATTGGATGCCACCCCATGTTCCATGTTCACCTGGGACTTGATTTTCATTCACAGCAGCATCTGCAAACTTAGCTTCCCAAAGAGATGGTGTTTGGGAGGAATGCAGGACGATATCATGTTGACACTCTGCTTTGAGCAGGTAGTTTGCTTAAGTTTGACCAATGATGAGTATCTCAGCATTTCCCCCCCGGGAACTGAAAATACCCCGATCCATCCCTATATATTCACCACACCATCCCGAAGCCACCTCAGTACATGATTTGGGAACCACAGAGCTCGTCACCTTAATACTGCTCGAGTCACTTGAACATCACCTCACATAGCATTGTTCGTATTTCATGATGAACCCAGCAGATCCCAAGCTCTCAATTCCATGAATGTAATAAATATCAAATATTATTTCAGAGTTACCATAGTGATATATTGTTTAATATCAGTTTTCATAGGTGTTCCACATCTGGGACAGTGGCACAAAATAGGTTAAGAGAAAGGTAGTCTCGGGTGGTGTCCTGCTTTGCCAGAGCCAAGTGGCTGGGAGCAGGCGGAGTGGGAATGTGCTCTCAGGGCTCTTTGCCCTCCGGGCTGCGCTCGCACACTCACTCCGGAGAGGAGTCTCAAGCTGGGTCAAAACCACAGTGTGTCACATTTTCTCTTTCAGAGTAATAAGGACTATGTAAGGATTTGTATGTGTGTGAAGGGGTCCTGCCATGTTGCCCAGGGAACTCACAGACTCCTGTGCTCCATCAGTCCTCCTGCCTCAGCTTCTTGAGTATCTGGGACTAAAAGGATTTTTAATAATTTAATTCATAAATTTATAAAAATTGCACCACCCCACCCCCCAGAATAATGAGGTTCCTTTGGAACTTGCTCTTAGCCTTTGTCCTCCACAAACACATTTTGTTCCCTGTAAAATGGGAAGGCATCCTTTGAGGGCAGATAAGGACCTGCTGTTTCTGCACAGCTTGAGGAGCCCCTGACCTAAGAGGAGTGACTCAGTCGTGATGGTGGTGTGTGTCATCCTCAAAGTCTGTCATTTAAATGGACATCAAGGTCAGTGGGTGCAGTACTTCCTAGGTGATATGCCCACATGCCAAGGCCAGGGCTGGGCCATTGCTAGGTGATGGTTGAGCCTCCAGTCACTGTCCCCATTCAAGTCTGCTGTACTTTGCACTTAATTATAGGAATGATCATTGTGATGTGTGATTTTTGCTTCATAGTCTGACTTTAGATCCTAATCTGTGCAATGTATTTCCCCACTGAACCACAGGGTGCTCAAGAACTGCATGCTTCAAATTCTGGTGTGTGTTTTGTTCTTGGTTTTTGTTGGTGTTCTGGCTAGGCATGGAAAAACTCATTTCAAGCAAGCTTATCATCGACACATGTGTTATTTACAAGAGGGCACATAGACGCGTGAGAATTGCTTGTTTTCATAATGGGCAGACAAGTGCTTTCATATTTTTGTGGTCTGGGCATGGTGGCAGCCTGGGGCAGACTTTGGGTTCCCTGCTTGCCTTTCATTGCTTTCCTGATATCTGTTGGGCTCCTAGGAAGTACTTCCTGTAGCTTCTCGAGTGTGGTCAGATGTATTTGAATCAGCTGGATGGGTTTTTAAAGACAGAGAGGGAGAACCTTCCAGCATCTTTAACTGAGGGTTCTCAGAGCCAAGAAGACCTGATATCAGCAGTGCTACAGGACGGCCATTGGGCATTTCAGCTCCTTGGCTGGTTTGTTCCATTGAGGAAATTGAGCACATGATGCCTGTGGTAAACAAACTCTTCTTTTCTATTGAGAACTTTATTGAACTTTGAATTAAAAAATTTAAGCAAACACATACATTGTAACTAGACGGATGAACCTCTATGGACCCTTCACCCATGTTTATTGCCAATGTCACTTTATTTGTACCAGTAGTTCCCCAGACCGAGCATCAAGACCATCTGAAAATTTATTAGAAATGCACAGCCTGTTGATCTGTGCTGCAGTAGGCCCCAGGGGCGAGGTGACCCGTGGCTGCTGAAGCTGGAGAACACCACGTCCACCAGTGCAGGCCCCCAGCTGGGATGCTTTAAGCAAATATTGTGTATTTGCAAATACATTAGTACATAAACTATTTTCTTTTAAACATGTCACAAATGGTTACAACATTTCGAGAACTGCCTCTCAGTGGGTATCAGTATTTAAACAGGCTTATCCTTTATCTCTTAATTCAACTCAGTAATCTACTTTAAAGAGAATAACAGGACAGGTACTCCATTGGTGTATAAACAAGGATGCTAGTTGCAATGTCCAAGATGAAGGAAACTTGGAAATACCACATGTCCAGTATGAGGGATTGGCTAGTAAGTTATGTTCTTTTTCCCCTACACAGTGGAATGTTATGAAGCCATTAGAGAATTATGTTCCAGATGCTGTTATTAAGTAGGAAAAGCAGTTTTCAGAATGGGTTTTGTGTGATCTCATTTTCTTTTTTCTGTTCAGGGTGTATGTGTATGAGAGAGAGAGAGAGAGAGAGAGAGAGTCTCTCTCTTTCTACCCCCCTCCCCCCCGAAAAGAGTTTTTGTTGTGGTATGACTTAAACAGAGTAAAAAGGCTGGAATGTTAGTTACCAAAACACTCATACTTACCTTTGGAAGATGTAATTTTGGTTATGTTCACACTCTTCTTGCTTGTTTTGTTTTGTTTTTAAACAATGAACATGTATTTTTTTTTAATAGGCCCAATCAGTGAAGTTATTTTAATTTTGCAAAAGCCATATTCATTGAAATTTAATCTCCTCTTGATTAATTTCAGTTGAAACAATCTCCTTGCATTTGCAGATGGGCACACACTGGATTCAAAGAGATATGCCATTATTGGAGCAGACCTCCGAGACCTATCTGAACTGGAAGAGAAACTAAAGAAATGTAACATGAATACACAGTGAGATTTCTTTTTAACCTCTTCTGCATTTGTGATTTCATGCTAATTATGAGATGTGGCCTGTTGGAAGTGCAGCTTGAGACCCAGTCTTTCATTTTGATTTTTATAAGTTTTGTCATTTCCTTGCTACTTAGTTGCTGAAGTTTTTTTGATTTGTTTGCTTTTTTAAAAATCCGCTGTTTTTAGATCTGCATGACAGTAGGGTGTGTTTTGACATATTATACATACATGGAGTGCAACCCATTCTAATTTTGATGTTGAAGTTCTTAAGCAGTGTTGTTTCTCAAGTCTGTTTGCACATCATAATCACACGTATTAGCTTTTAAAAATACTGATGCCTAATATCAAAGTTTGAGAGAAGAGAATTGTGTGGACAGAAACAAATCTAGAATATATAATGTACAACTGCCATTAAATAGAAGTGCTTCATAGAAGAAATGGGCAAAAGATAACCAGGCAGCTCCAAGAAGAAACTGAATATCATGTAATGCAGAATATATGACGTATGACTATCCTATGAGGATATCAAGCCTCAGGAGTACGCAGATGGAATTCTGTTTTCCTCCCACCAAGTTAGCAAAAATGGACATGGTATAACCATTGGTGGAAGCAAACTTGGTACAACCATTATGAGGAACAATCTGAAAGTGTCTACTAAAGTTGTAAATGTGTTGTCATACCTACCACAGATCTACTTTGGGGTATATTCCCTGGAGAAGGTCTTGCATAAGAAGGTTGTACGTCATAGTCGTTACAGTGCAGAAAATGGGAAATGTTTGTCAGTGGGAGACTGGATAAATCAAATGAAAAATGAATGGCCTAGATTTATGTGGGGAGAGCTCAACCCTAACGTTGAATAAAAAAAAAAAATACACAAAATCAAGTTGCATAATAACAGGCACGGTGTGATCCTAAATACATAAAACCAAACCCCCCGTGACATCAAATTTTTATGGTTACATGCTTTCATGTATTTTATAAATGGTCCAGAAGGATTCACACCAAATTCTTGAGAGTTGGCACCTCTGGGAAGATGAGGAGGAGTGAGATGCATGGTTTTAGCATGATGCCACTGATCAACATCAGATTGGAATTACAGAGGTAGCGAGAGTTGAAGATGACATTGTCATAGACATTTGTGATTCATAGCACAAGGTGGACGTTTGAGGGGACACACCACACCTTGGCAAAGGGACATGTGAATGCTGTGGTTTCCTCAGGCACATGTTTTACAGTGGACGTTAGTGAGTGAATCCGTAGTAGACTGGCTAAAGCTGGACTCACTGGTAACCATGGTACCCTGTCCAGGAGAGTGCGAGTTTTATCTTCTTGTCTTGAGTTCAATTCTAACCTCCCTCTTTACTATAAAAAAAAAGAAATTTTTTTTTTTTTTTTTTAATTTCTTTGAGCCTTGTTTTCTCTCATTATGAACTTGGATTAAAAACTACATCACCATATAGATGAACTGAAGTAATTCATGTTAGTGTAGCTGAACAGAAATAGTAGGCCCTCAGTAAGTGACATCTGAATCCAGCTTTGCTTGTAGTGACCGGTAGATTCTGAAAATGATATGAAAGATCAGGGAAATAATCACTTATAAAGTGGGCTAACTCTTGATGGGAAATTTGCCTCCCTTTTAGAAACTGACAAAATGGATGAAAACAGTTGAAATGACAAGCTTTAGAATTCTGTGTCCGATTCTTCCACATGGTTTCATTGTGTTCTATATTTTTTCTTTATGGGCTGGCTTTTCTGTTTTCTTTCATTTATGTTTTGAAAAAATATGAATCTTCACTTTTAATGCTAATGATTACCTTTAAAATAGTTCTAAAATATTTTTAAAGTTTTCAAATAATTCAGACTTATAAAAACTTAAATGCCAAGATTTCCTAAAAAAGTCATCCTTACCAGTTTTCCTCACATTAGTATCTTATGCAGAAATGGTTGCCTTTTATATTAAATAACTTCTTGAAACTTTCTCTAGTTGTCAACTTATTAGATGAGGTTTTGGAATATTAGTTTTTCATTCATTCACTCACACACTGTAATAATTTCAAGTGACATAACCTCAGGTTTTGTTTTTTGTTACTGGGTTTGAACTCCGTGAGGAGCGCTCGACCACTGAGCCCCATCCCCAGCCCTATTTTGTATTTTATTTAGAGACAGGGTCTCACTGAGTTGCTTAGTGCCTCACTGTTGCTCAGGCTGGCTTTGAACTCCCAGTCCTCCTGCCTCAGCCTCTTGAGCTGCTGGGATGACAGGCGTGCACCACTGCATCAGGCAACATAATCTCAGGGGTTAGATTTAGATCATTATTGTTAATTTCAAAAAATTCTTCCTTTAAATGGTTTGCTTTTTGATGTTTCCAGTGTGTGCAACATAGACAGTTTTTTTTTTTTTCTGGATTCAGTGTTCTGTGTTTCTTTGTATCATGATTCAGTCCAGGCCACATTGAGTTTATGATGTCAGGTGAGGGACAGGGCTCCAAGGAGCACTTTGATATAAATTTGTAACTGGTTGAGTCATCTAACATTTCATTGTTAACAAGGGGCTGGGGTGGTGGCTCAGTGGCAGAGCGCTCACCTAGGGTGTGTGAAGCACTAGGTTTGATTCTTAGCACCGCATATAAATAAATTAATTAAATAAAGATCCATTGACAACTAAAAAAATATTAAAAACAACAAACAAACAAAGTCAAAGTAGAATCCAGATGAGCAAAGTAGCTGGCCAGGAAGAGCTGAGGCCCCAGGCTTCGTTCCTGTGTGGACAGGGGCAGGCCTCCAGGAGACTGCCAGCTGGGCTGCCTCATTCTCTTCCCACAGCAGGCTGCCTTGAGTTCATTCAGTGTCAGGGTTCCAGGTGGAGCAAGAGCAAGGGCCAGGAGAGCCAGTGCCAGTCATTTCCAAACTTGCAACCTATCTGCTGCCATCTCCTTGACACACCAAGTGCCTGACTAACCCAGATTCCAGGGGTAGGAAATGAACTCCATTTAGTGAAGGGAGGATCTGTAGTGTTTTGTTGCCACTGTGCCCATGCACAGGAGGGACAGTGCACAACCTTTTTTTTTTTTAATATTTATTTTTCAGTTTTCGGTGGACACAACATTTTTATTTTATTTGTATGTGGTGCTGAGGATTGAGCCCAGTGCCCCGCGCATGCCAGGCGAGCGCGCTACCGCTTGAGCCACATCCCCAGCCCCAGTGCACAACCCTTTTAACAGTCCTCCCCACACATCAGCTCAGTGTCATTAGCCAGACAAATCACTGCTCCTTGCTCAGCTTCTCACAGTGCAAGGCTTTGGGTCCTAGTGGTGTCTGTATGGGTAGCATGCTGACTGACACTGTGTGTGCTGTCCTTCTGGTTTTCCGGGGTGGGACTTGCCTTGCCAAAACTGCAACATATGTGCAAGTTCTCACTTGATACAAACGCCTTGATTTTTTTTTTTTTTTTTAACTTTAGATTGCCAACACTCCTGATAACTGAATGTGTGCTGGTTTACATGACTCCAGAGCAGTCGGCCAACCTTCTCAAGTGGGCATCCAATACTTTTGAGACAGCCATGCTCATAAACTATGAACAGGTAAGAGGAAGCCCAGAGATCGGGTTCTCCTCAGACCCCAGAGGTGGCTTTTTCTCTTGGCACCTTTGCTATATCATATCCTTCCCTGTTCTCTTCCTTTTGCCTTCAGCCTCTTTTCACTCCTTTATGAATCCATCCCAGCAGTCCTAGTCAATTCTTGACTTCCTGCAAACTTTGAGCCAGAGTTTTAGAACTTCTGACTTGGTCTTTATAAATTTTTTTTTTCCATTTCTTTCTTTATCACTTTGTTTACTGTAGAATTGTAGAGCGTTCCTTACAAAGGTCTTTGGGCTGCTGTGCGGGTAGGAATAGCAAACTGACGCCCTCAGAGGCAGGCAGGTGTGCAAATGGAGAAAAGTAGCCAAGTGTAAGTGGTATGGAGGGGGACCCTGGGGCCTGAAGCACCGTGCTACCAGAGAGGCCACTACTCAGCCCCACCCCATTGTTAACCACGTGGAAATGTGACCCCGGAGTTACCAGAGCTCCCAGTTTTTGAAGAGAAGTTAGAAATGCAGGATTTCAATGTAAAATTCTCTAATTTTGAAAATCATAAATTGGCCCACTGGTTGCCTGTTTGCCTCTTCTGATTTAGTGCAAAAAAGGTGACATTTTGGAGTTTTGAAATGACACAGCTCAGGTCTGCATCTAGGCCCTCCCTCGTTATTGGCTATGGACAGGCTGCATAGATCTCTGCCTGTGTCCTCTCCTGAGAGTGAGGATTGAGCGAGTTGGGTGTGCCAAGCCCTGCGACAGTGCCCGCTGTAAGTCAGCACCAGCTGCCATTTGTAGCTCCGTGAGCCCTGCCGGTTGTTTTTAAGGGGCTGAGGCCTCAGCTCTGGATCACTGTGGGGACTCAGGAGGTGTCACGTAGCAGTGGGCAGTGACAAGCACTGAACCCACGTTAGCTATTTTTATTACTTATTTTGTTAGTGTTAGACTGATTTTATTTTTTAAAATCTTTTTTCATTACAGATAAGAGCAGTAAAGAGACATGCCCCACGTCGTGTACTTATGGGTGGATCTAGGCTAGACTTGTCTCCACCTCCTTCCCTGCTCCTGCCCTGGTTCACGCTCTTGGGGGTTTGGTTCTTGGTTGGCTGGTTTTTCTCCCTTCCCTCTCTCTTTTTATTTTATTTATTTATTCTACAAATTAGTATTAGGTTTTTAAAATTTTTTTTAATTGATTTTTAAAAAATAAATGACAGTGGGATGCATTACAATTCTTATTACACATATACAGCACAAATTTTCATATCTCTGGTTGTATATAAAGTATGTTGACACCAATTTGTGTCTTCATACATGTATTTTGGATAATGATGTCCCTCACAGTCCACCAGCCTTACTAAGCCCCTGCCCCCTCCCTTCCCTCCCACTCCTCTGCCCTGTTTAGAGTTCGTCTGTTTCCCTTCCGTCTCTTAACCTGGGCATGTTCCCCAGCTGAGCTGAGGAGTGGATGTGGTGGAAGCTGCCCCCTGTCTTGTCTTTTTCTTTTGATAATTTCTTAAATTTTAATTTATTTATTTTAATTAGGTATTATGGCAGCAGGATGCATCTTGATTCATTGTGCACAATTGCAGCACAACTTTTCATTCTCTGTACACAATGTGGCTTCACACATACGTCCAGGCATACCTGTACCTAGGATAATAATGTCCCTCACATTCCACCATCTTTCCTGCCCCCAGGTGCCCTCCCCTCTCCACCCTCCCCTTTGCCCATTTTTCCTGTGCCTCCCTCCCACATTCCTGGCTCAGCTTCCACTTATCAGAGAGAACATCCAGCCTGTCTTTTCTTTCTATGTGAACAAATCCTGAGCAGCTGTCTGCTTTCGTCCCCTGTGCTTCCTCTGTGTGTGCTGCCCACTCCCACTCAAACAGCCTCAAATGACAAATGGCAGGTTAAGGGAATTTGGAGCAGAGACCCTGTTGCTTTGGAGGACGCCTTGGAAAGTACCTGTTTTCAGTATGTTGTCCACAGCTGTCCCTCACCTGACACCCTCACCTTGTCCATGATAATTTAACTTAAGTCACTAACAAATACAAAATCACCAGTAGCCTCATTACACTTATTAATTGCTTACATGTCTTATATCATTTCCTGATGGTTTAAAATTACAAAAGCACAAGGATGATAATCAAGTAATGACAGTGAACTCCGAGATGTGCTTGCTGTGTACCAGGCACTGTTCTGTGAGTTTTACATAAATTAACAATTAATAATGACCGTAGTCCTCAGGGTAGGTACTAGCACCCCCCTGTCTTTACAGGTGAGGGGACAGAGCACAGAGACTTAGCTAGCCAGGGCCTTGCAGCTTGCAAGCCAGAATTCAAACCCTGGCTGTAAGACAGTGGAGTGTGTGTTCACCGTGCCGTCTGTCCTGAGTGGGTGGCGTGCAATGTGATCAATAGTGCTTCATGAAGGGAATAGTACTGTTGCTTGTCTGGCATTATTGTCGTGTCAACCCTGGGAGTAATTTTACATATTGTTCCAGTGAGGTCTTTTTGTCACCTCGTATAAGCATGGCAAAGCCATCGTCAGTGCTACAGTAGTGAGTGGCAATGTGTTTTCTGGCATTTGTGCATATATATAGGGTAGTTGTGGTTTTTTACTCAAAAAACTAATACCACATGCAGAACAGAAAATCCAAGCAATCCAAAGGTTAGATAAAAGTAAATCTCTCTCCTATTCTTGACCTCAGTCTTCTGATCTGAGAAACAGTGGTCCTGCGTTCAGAATTTCCCTAAAAGGAGAGAGATTCGTTTTCTCTGGGAGGCAAGGGCCTTTCTGTGCCCACTCCTCCGTGGCTTCTTGGAGTTTAGCTTAAAGTCCTCTGTGTCTCTATCTGTGGCTGTCCTCCTTCCTTTTCACAGGTATGTGGTAGTTCATTATGTGAAGGTGATAGCATGTATTTAACCCCCAAATGATGGGTACTTCTTTCTGGAATCTTCCCACTGCACATGATACCGTGGTTGATTTCTGCGTCTCTGTACATGCGTGAGTACACCTGTAGGGGCCAGTGCTATCTGGAGTTGGCGCAGCACAGGTGGAACTCTGAAGATGACCGTGTGCTGCCCGGGGCCGCCCACCGAACACTCCCAGCACAAAGTGCGCTGGTGCCACTCCCTCCCTCACCTGTGCTGGCAGGAGCTCTCAGTCAGCCTTGACTGGTTAAAAATTGGATGTCATTGGGTGTTTTTAATATTTAAGAAACAAACTCTCAGGGTGATGCCAGCTCTCTCTTCCCTGCTCAGGTGAACATGGGTGATCGGTTTGGGCAGATCATGATTGAAAACCTGCGGAGACGACAGTGTGACCTGGCAGGAGTGGAGACCTGCAAGTCCTTGGAGTCACAGGTCAGAGAGCACACATGGGGTGTCTGTCTGTCCTCTTAGCCATCAAGGGGGGCCTTTCCTTTGCAGATGAGATGATGTAGGAGGCCCTGTGACTGCCTGCCGACACGGGCGGCTGGGCTCCCTGATGCTGGGACAATCCAAGGCCTGCTTCCACATCTTGACGTAGAAAACAGAAATATATTTATTGTGACACTATTATTTATATCATCAAATCTTATTTTATGTAATTTTTTCTTTTATTATGTAATTTTTGAAACCAACATAGAGTCAGTGGGGGATGGTGAGCTGGATGCCCATGTCCCATCAGCTGGCTTCTGTACTTAGTAATGTCTTCGTCGTTATTGTTTCTATATCCTCCTCAATATTTTTGAGGTGAGTAGTGGCATTGGAACATTTTCAGGCAAACCCCAGTTGTACATGACTTCACCTTCAGTGTTTCAGTGCAAATCTTCTACCAGTAAAGACTTTCTCCCCCAGGATAATGTCAGAACCATTATCACCCTTCACAGACAGACATTAACTTCTTCGTAGCATCCAATATGTGGTGCACGTTCTCCTCAGTTGTAAAACAGTTTTTATAGTTGGTGGGTCTGAGTCAGGATCCACCCATGGCCCTCACTCTCTAGGTGAATGATGAGTCCCTTGTATGTCATTGATCTGTAGATTCCACCTCCCTATTCCAAATGTCATTTATTTGCTGGAGACACCTCCTACCCTGCCCCATTTAAACAGGTTAGTTTTGACATGTCTGAAGTCGCGTGACCACCACATGCTTTCAGAACTGTTACTCAGAGAAAAGCCTCTTCCTGTTTGTCTCTAAATGTACTTCAGTTTCCTCCATGATAAAAGTATATGCCCAATATAGAAAATTTAAAGGTGAAAAGAAGAAAGATGCAGGGGGCCAGAGTGGCTTTTTGAAGGAATCATTTCAGAAAAGTGCTTAGGAGGGCTGGGACTTACTCGACCTTGTGATTTTCCCTCTCTTTTCACCACACTTCAGAAAGAGCGGCTCCTGGCGAATGGGTGGGAGACAGCATGTGCGGTCAACATGATGGAGCTGTACAGCAGGCTACCGCGGGCGGAAGTGAGCAGGTATGGGCCGGAAGCCCTGGCTCTGCGGTGGTTAATCGGGAGTGAAAGGCACTGCTACCTGTGGTCTTTACTACAAAACACAAAACAAAGCTTTATCCAGACTCTTTGAAATCAATTAAATATTGGTAGCAACCTGAGGGTAACAGATTAGCTATTAGGGGAGGTGGAGCTTGTGCCCAAACAGATGAGCAAGTGCACCTAGAAAATGCCCAGAGCAATCTCTGCAGTAGAAATTTGGCATGATCCCTGTTTTGGAGAAGGAAGAAAATGACATCACCCTAGCATTTGTAAGGGAAAAAGACCTCTGACAGCAATTTTAAATGGATCTTCCCACATTATAAAAGAAATTCATGTTCGTTCTGAATAGTTTCCAGCAGTGCCGAGGCCGTGAGGTAAACCTGCGCTCCGCAGGCACATGTACATAAAGATAAATATTTATTGGTACATAAATTTTGGTTTTTTTCATCAGGAACTTTATATATTTGTCTGGAAATCCCCCTCTTTATTTTTAAACTTAAAAATGGGTCATATTTATCTTTACATATCAAAACTTTGAGGGTTAACATATCCTGTTTTCCTACATGGTATTTATTTATTTATTGTTTGTTCTTTGTGGATATACATGTTTATCTTTTTAGGTATACATGACATACATGGTATTTATATTGCTGTGTTGTTAGAATATTTCAATATTGATAATTTTAAACTGATAATTGATAAATTTTAAAGAAATAAAAAATGGTTTAGCTAGGCATTTAATTCTGGTGCTTTATGTTTCGTTTTAATTTCTGTGTTTCAAACAACACTGAAGGGAACATCGCCATATATACATCTGTGTTAGTGCCTGCTTTAATTCTTTTTTCTTTTTTAAATTTTTTTAGTTATAGTTGCACACAGTATCTTTATTTTGTTGATTTATTTTTGTGTAATGCTGAGGATCGAACCCAGTGCCCGCCACATGTGAGGCAAGCGCTCCATCATGGAGCTGCAGCCCCAGCCCCTGCTTTAATTCTTTTACATTTAGTTCATGCTTCCTGGATTGTTCTTTTTCTTTTTTCCTTTGGAGACCTAGAGGTACAGCTTTTAGTCCCTTGAAAGGTCATGAGAAGAACTTTGGGCCTGGTTCTGCCACAGAACTTACTAACATTCAGAAACATCACTGTTTTTCCATGTTTCAGACATCGGTGATTGGCAGTGAAAGCCTTGAAGGCCTGAGAAAATGCAGTCTGCACGTAGCTGGCTCTGAGCTTCCGGCTCCTTCCAGAAGCTTTTAATATCCCTGGACTCGCATCCATAATGGGGATGCTATAGGGACTTTGTTGGATACCCAGCTTTTCTAGATAGTGTCATCAACCACAGGGAAAAGGTGACTTGCTTCTAGGCAGCCTTTGTTGCATGTGGCCGTGGCCTTTTGTAAACGGGAGCAGGTGACCTTAACAGAGGCCAGTGATGAGATGGGATGGCTTTGCTCTCTCTACCCCAGGCTGAACAGCCCTCCCAGCTCTGTGAATGTCACAAGGTCTGTCTGCATTTTCTTAGTACTGTGGAGTATAAAAAGAAGTTCAAGGTGATGAGCATGTTCTTTTCACATATGCCAAGTGCCTACTGTGTGCCAGGCAGTTTTCTAAGCACAAGGGATACAACAGTGATCAAAATGGACCAAAGCCATATGCCTGTCCCTGGAAGCTCACTTCCTAGTGAGCAGCTTCAAATTAGCAGTCAGTCCTTATAGTCGCATTTGGTGATAAACCTCCTGGAGCCTTCATGGTGCTGGTTTTTCCCTAGAACTCTGTTAGGTAATCTGTCTTGGATGTCTGTTAGTCAGTTTTCTGCTACTGTGACAAATACCTGAAGTGATCAGTTTATAAAGTGAAGAGGTTTATTTTGCCTCAGGGCCTCCCACATGCTAAGCATGCACACTACTGAGCTATACCCCACCCCCAGCCCTCTTTCTTCTTTTTAGTACAAATAAATTAAAAAGGAACCACACCAGACAAACTATGTTGTAGCCATTAAAATGTGTCGTGAGTGTCTCTCACATTGGTGAGTGGACCATCGCCTCAGACGTTTTCACTGTCTAACATCACCCTTTACTATTCTGATCTCTGCTCAGGATCGAGTCCCTGGAATTCCTGGACGAGATGGAGCTTCTGGAGCAGCTCATGCAGCACTACTGCCTGTGTTGGGCAACCAGAGGAGGACAGGAGCTTGGTACGGATCATCTTTTGTTGCTTTGATGTAGAAATGGGGAATGTTCCTCCCCCAGAGAACGAAAGGAGTACCTGTGACTTCAGGCTCAGAAAGAACCCGAGAGCTCTGTCTGTGTAGCCGTGAGCATACCTTGGGAATTCATGGTTCTGTCATCTGGGTTTTTATAGCATAGAATTCAGGAAAATTGTTTAGATGAGCCCCAGATCCTGAACAGCCAGCCAGCCCTTGACGGGTCTGCTGTGGAACTTCTGCAGTTGCAAGGTTAAGGACCTTGAAGGTTTAAAGTGATACCAAGTATCCAGTGTTTACTAGGTGTTAAGCACACAAGTCGTCACGCTCTCTAACAAGCCCGTGCCCTCGGTCATAGCTCCCTGGCTGTGGCTGAGCAGGCCACGGGGGTGAGCAGATCCGCAGCTCAGTGGTGACCCGTTGGCTTTCATCCAGCTCCTCTTCCCCACCTGCCCCAGGTCCTGCTCCCTGGCGGTTGTTATTAATGTGTCTGCACCGGGGGAAACTGTGTTAGATCAGGCACGTGTAGCAGCTGCCCAGTACCTCCTGCAGATGTGATCTGAATGACACACGACCTCAGGCACCTTGAGAGCGGAGACCTCGACAGAGGCCAGGTGACATGAGGGGCGGTCAGCCTGCTGGGGCTATCAATCTCTTGTCTACAGATTCACCCAGCTCAGCCCACAGAATCCTTTCAAACTTGTTTTGATTTAAAAAATCACCTATTGGTGTGTTTTTATGTTGTCATCCTTTCCTAAATTATAAAACAATGTAATTTGGAAACTTCTGAAAAGTGTGGCAAAGAAAAGAAAATTGACCTGTACTGAGAGAGAACCTCTAGTAACTTTTTCTTTCCATGTTTTTTTCTAGATATTATCTTATTTTTAATAAAGCTGAATTTATACATTTATGTAACATTGATTCCTAACTTTTTTCAACTTAATATGGTAGCATAACCATTTCCCTTTTGCTACTAAATATTGTCAGCGAGCATAATTATGATGCTTTTATTGAGTTCCATCATGTGACTGTGTCTGATTTATTTAACTTTCCCGTGCTTTTGGAAATGTACATTATTTCTGATATTTTTGAGTTAACTATAGTTCTCCCCTCCCCCTGCCCTTTTGTAGTACTAGGTTTAACGTAAGGGGCTCCTTTGTCCCCACCCTCTGCCTGGGTGCTCTTGTGTCATGGTGAAAAATCATTTCTGCCTTAGCTCAAGGTTCAGCTGTTACAGGGTAGATTTTGGATGTTTACTGCAGAGAGCCCTTAAATTGTTATAATGCTTTCCTAATCCCTTTTAAACTATTCATAAACAGAATCTTGCCCAACTTCTTGTTTCCTCGTGAAATCGCCTTTCACAGAGCAGGGGACAGCTGTAGGGTTGGATGTGCTGGGCCCAGGCCCGCCTGGTGGGCCTGTAGCGGTGTCTTGTTCCTGCAGCTCTGCTGCCCTCTGCTCCGTGCCTTGAGGTCTCTGAGTCTCTGTCTCCCCCCTCAGGTCTGAAGGAGATCTCTTGTTGATCTGTTGAAAGCTCCTGTTGAGCTGGAAGCCGAGCTGTCTTCCCAGAGATGCATGGAGCAGCCTGAGTGATGGCCGCGGCCAGGGTGGGCCTCGCCTGTTGACCTCACTCCACGCTCTGAGAAGTCTTATTGTGAAGGTGGTCACACCTGTTCCTGTTCCTGTTGACTTACTATTGTTTAAATAAATCTCACTTGCCAAACGCCTGTGTCAAACCTCTGCTGGTTCCCTGTGTTCTGTGGGGTGGGCCAGGGTCACTTCTGTGGCAGCTGAAGCCTGACCTTCACTTACTCCCCATGAGTCGGACCCATAGTGAATCCATTTTGGGGTTCACTCCTTGATGAGCTGGGCTCTGCCAGACGCTGGAGCTCTTCTCCGGCTCGTGTGTGCCCTGGCCAGACCCACCTCTTCAGGGCTTCCTTCATCCTGGCTAGTGTGGCAGCTGAGGGGTTCATGGCAGGCTGAGTAATGGCCCTGCAGTGTCCACATCCTGATCCCCAGGACCTGTGGGTACACTACCTCCTGTGGCAAAGGGGCTTTACAGGTGCGGTTAAGGTAGGAGTTTGGAAATGAGATCATCCTTGATTTTAAGGGAACCTGATGTAATCATAGCCCTTTGATTGGAAAGGGACAGAGGAGGTGTCACACAAGGCAGTGGGATGACAGACTGAGGAGTGATGCACTCGGAAGATGGAGGAAGGGGCCAGAAGACCAGGAATGTGGGCAGCTTTTAAAAGCTAGAAAGGGCGAGAAAACACCTCCAGCGCTCCAGCCCTGTTGTCAGCGGGACCTTAGCTTCGTGAAACCAGCTGCAGGTCTCTGACCTCCAGGACTACAAGAGCCACGTGCATTAAGCCGTGAAGCCTGTGGTCATATGTTAGAGCAGCAACAGGAGCCTCGTGGTCAAGCTCCAGGTGAGTCGGGCCTCCAGGAAGAAACGCGTGTGAATGGCGTGTGCAGGAATGGCGCCAAGGAAGCCCCTGGTCTCCCCTCACCTGGGGTCGGCACAGCTCCCCTTCACCATTCGGAATCCTCAGATCAGTGCTCCCCAGGGTGCAGGCGTGTCCCCACTGGTGGCCTGCCTGTGGGTGGCAGTCGGTGCACTGAGAACCTGAAGTGAGTGGACCACCACGTGAGAGCTGCTTCCTTTCTAGTTACCTTTTCCATCTCAGTCAAAGGAAATCTTAGGCTGGTGGTCGCCTTCAGCAATCTGTGGTACTCACCAATCCAGAGTTGAAACCTTGAGACCGTTAGAGGGTGGCCAGTCAGTTTAGCAGACTGAAGTCCATTCACGTGAAGAGACGTAGACTAGGATAAAAATATAGCCCATTACCAGTAGTGAAGGTGAGGATTGTTTTTTTAAACTTCATTTTCGTGTGCACCTGAAGGACTTCTTCTAAAGTCAGAATTTTCTAGCCCTTCGCCACCAGAACAGCAACAGTGCTTACTTGACATTGAGAAAAACTTTTGAGCCCCTCATGGTGGCCCATGCCTGTAATCCCAGCCGCTCGGGAGGCTGATGCAGGAGGATCAAGGGTTCAAGGCCAGGGAGGCACTAAGCAACTCAGTGAAACCCTGTCTCTACATAAAATATAAAATTGGGCTGGGGATGGGGCTCAGTGTCAAGTGCCCCTGAGTTCAATCTCAGTACCAAAAAGAAAAACTTTCATTGCATCAATGGTCTTTTTTGCCTTTGTATTTTTTATAGATCACCATGTGTCCAGGGGCAATGATGCTCCATCACCATTGATGGCTGTGTTTGTAAAATATCCCTCAGAGTGTCAGGGCTTTGGACGAGGATGTAACAGAGCGCTTGCATAGCACAGGCAAGGCCCTGGGTTCAGTCCCCAGCACTGCGAAAACCAAAGTCATTGACATATTGACATAATATCTTAAAATGAGTCTATTTAAAGATAATTATTAAGAAAACAACTACAGAGGCACCAAAAGGGTGTTGGAAAAAAATCCCAGAAATAATGCATTTGGAACTACCAAAGCCGAGGAGCATCAGGTAAGGGCAGAGGGTCTTGCCAAGGGTTGGTTTCCTGCCTCCTCTGTCACACTTCTATGACCAGGACAGCACTGCAAGGTATGCTTGACTTTTTAGATTGCAACTTGAAACTCATGTCCCCCCTCAGTAATCTAAACCCCCTGGTAATAATCCATACACACGTCACTCAGTGGAGCCTCCTCTTTGGAAGGTCGTCTGGTGACCTTTCTCCCTTCTACTTTGGCTTCTTCGAGGATTCCCCACTAGACAGCCCCCTCTGCCCTGAGGATTCTTGGCAGGCACTTCCCTTGGCTGACTGGGACCCTTCCTACCTCTTCCTGCCTCTCCCCCTTTCCACCCGCAGTGCTTCCTGTTCCTGTAACCTCCAGACCTGGTCTCCATGGAACACGAGAGTGGGTGGCAGGTCATTTTAATAGATTAAAGTAGATTAAATTTAGTAGATTAAAGTCCCTTTTCCCCTTTTTCCTTTTGAAAATCTTTCTCTCTTGATTGTGATGAAATATATATAACAGAATTATCCATTTTAAGCATTTCTAAGAGCACAGTTCAGAGGCACTGAGCGCACCCACATTGTTATGCATCCATCTCCACCGCCCATCTCCAGGACCTTTCACCCCTCCAAACTGAAACTCCTTCTCCATTGAACAGTGATTCTCTATTCCCTGTCCCCCAGCCCTGACAACTACTGTTGAACTCTGTCTTTATGAATTCCACTACTCTAGGGATCCCTTATGGGTGGAATGGTATATTTGTATCTGGCTTACTGCACTTGGCATAACGTCTTTGGGGCTCATCCATGCTGGAGCATTTATCAGAATTCCCTTCCCTTTTTAAGGCTGAGTACTATTCCTTGGTATTATGTACCACATTTGGATTATCTGTCTTCTGGTAGACATTTGGACATTCTCACTCTTGGATATTGTGAATTATGCTATCATGAATATTGGTATATGAATATGTTTGACTCAGTTCTTTTTAGGTATATACTCCAAAGTAGAATTGCTGGATCATTTGGTAATCTTATTTTTAATTTTGGGGGAGACCTCCATACCATTATTCAAAGCAGCTGTGCCATTTTACACTCTTACCAGTAATGCACAGAGGTACCAATTTCTCCATATCCTTGTAACACTTGTTATTTTAAAAATCACATCCATTTAATTTTTTTCCACATTTTTTATTGGCACGTTATAGTTGTACATAATGACAGGGATTTGTTGTTACATATTTGTACACGCACACAATATAATTTGGCCAAAATCACTCCTCAGCACTTCCTCTGTAATTATGTTTTTTTTTTTAAAGTAAGAGTCACCCCAGTGAATGTAAAGTGGTATCTCATTGTGGTTTTGGTTTGCGTGATTAGTGATTTTGAACATCTTTTATTTGTATGTTTAGATCCTCGATCCCTTCTGAGTTAGATTTTGCGTATGGTGTCAGGTAAGGAAACCAACATCGTTCCACTTGCACGTGGATGTCCAGTTTCCCCAGCCCCATTTGTCGAAGCGCCTGCCCTTTCCCCATTGATCAGTCTTGACATTCTTTGTCAAAATCATCTGGCCACTTACGCAAGGGTTTCTTTCCAGGCCGCCTATTCTATTCCACTGGTCTATTTGTCTGTTTTTATGTCAGGGCGAAACTATTTTGATTACTGTAGCTGTACGGTAAGTTTTGAAATTAGGGAGTGTGAGACCTCCAACAACTTAAGTTTTGAGATTGTTTTGGCTGTTCAAGGTCCCTTGAGATTCTAATGAATTTTGCGAATGTAACTATAATAACCAGGTATTAGACTTTTTTTTTCTTTTTTGCAACGCTAGGATGCAACCATGGCCTCGCACAGGCTAAGCACACGCTCTACCGCTGAGCTGCACCCCCAGTCGTCAAACTAGGTTTTAATTTTATAGCTCTTCTTTCATTTTCGGGTGGGAAGTGCGGATGGTCATGAATAAAATACTCGCTATGAGTAGGATATAGATTTATATTTTGGCTTATTTTATATACCTCCTTGTTCTATAAAAGGAATGGAGATGGCTAATAAAACTGCAGCAACACAAAACACAAAAACAAATGCTTGGGGGATTTGGAACGTGAGTTTATAAAAAAGAAAAACAAGGCCACGAGTCAGGTGGGCTCACAAATGTGAATGTTTTATTGTCTAATGCAGGAACTGTCCGTGGGCCACAAATCTGATTCCCCCACGTCCTCATCAAGATGGAAACATGATTCAGTTTCCATAAAGTCTCAGCCAGCCACATGCTCAAGAGAGGCACAACTCTCCTGCCTGAGGCCCCAGAGAAACGGAGCATCTTCCCTGAGATCCCTGCAATCCATATACTTACAGCCCGGCTTGTGGAGCCGCTGGCCCAGGGTCCCTGAGGCAAACCAATGACTTAATGCTAAAATGAAAGTCCACGAAGGCGATTCTTCAAGGCCCAAGCAAAGCAGCCCCATTGTTCAGCTCTGAGAAGCTGCATTTAATACAAGAGCAGAGTTTAGAAAATATGAAGAGTGAAAGCTACAGAACCGATGGGCCTAACTGTTGTTCCTGAAAACAGCACGTTTTATACAAGATTCCTGGTAGAGAACTGGAGATCAGAATCTCAGGGGGTGGGATAGGGATGGACATCAAATTGACAAAGTGACGCAGATCAAAATGCTCTTAAAACCAACCTGATGGACAGTAGGGTTAAGTTTTTTTTTTTTGTGTGTGGGGGGGGGGGGGGGGGTGGTGCTGGGGATTGAACCCAGGACCTTCTGGGTTCGAGGCAAGCACTCTACCAACTAAGCTATATCCCCAGCCCAGAGGTTAAGCTTTTTAGGGAAATATAAAGAGCCCATGCCAGCTGCTCCACGTAAAACCCAGACCATTCTACACCCCTTCTTAAGACCCCCAAGGGCCCTCGTTCTTCCTGGTGTGAAATCCGACTTCTCCCTCAGCCTTCAAGATCTGACCCTGAGTGATCTGGTCTCTCCCTGCCTTACGTCATGCCACTCTCCCCTGCCTGTGACATTCCCACCCTGCCTTCACTCTTCATCTACCAAACTGTGCCTCTAAAGGGCCTTGGCATCTGTTGGTCCCTTTCTCCGTTGGCTTTATCCCATGAAGCCTAAACACCCCTCCTCAGAGGGCTTTCCCCACCACCCCACATAAGCCCCTAGCCCAGCAGTGAGTTTGTGTGTCTGCTCCCGTTGTGC